CTCTTGCCCTCTGCAAGAACCAGGGGTTCAATTTGTTAAACTAATTATCATCAAGCAAGGGCTACATGGGTAACTGGATGTCCTCTTCAAAAGTTACAATTCGATGGCGGTGTCCATTCAAACTGCCACTTTTGGAGGTTCCGCAAAGAAGAAACGCAGAAAACCCCAAGCTACCCCTGCCCCAGATCTCCCGCTCTCCCGATCTCCCGACTCCGGAATTCGCCGAAGGCCGAGGAGCCGTTGATTTGCAGGAGCCAAGGCAGCACCGGCCGCAGGCGTGCTCGCAGCCTCCGCAAAGAGCGGAGCTTTGCTTTTGCCCGTCGTTCCCCTTCATTTGTGCTCCTTTGCGAGTGATTATTTCTTCTTCTTCCTTTTTTGGGGGGGGAGGTCTTTGCTTTTCATCTGCTTTGTTTTGTGTGCTTTTTGTTGTCTTGTTTGGGAGCTTTCTGGGGGTAGAAGGAAACCTCCGAACTACAGAAGCCACCTCTACATTGCCTGCCAAAAAAGGGACCATGCCTCGTTGTTGATTGAAAAGGGAAAGTGGTGGACAGTGGACCTAACCCTTTGGATGTACCAGGCGAACCCGCTGGTGACTGTTTTGAGGTTCTTCAGTCGGTTCCCCCTAAGTTTTGGCCGGAACCCCATAGGTTCAAGAGAAACGAATTGCTTGGACCGCGCAAAAAGAGGTACAAGGATGCTAAACGAATATGGGTGTGTCTTATTAAGGTTGGACCCCCTAAAATGGGGGGGGGGTCCTTTTGGCTTCCCTTTAAAACCACAAAACCAGAAATACCCTCAAAAAACGGCACATCCATATATGGAACCCTCAAAATTGGTGGTCTTTTGGTCTTCCCTTGAAGGGAAACCCAATGAGCCCCCCCCCCAGTATTATGATAGGGGTCTATTTTACAACCTCCTTCTTTTCGGGGTTCCAGGCAGCAAAATAGACTCTAAGTGTCCATGGCAGCCCCTTTTTGTGGTTCCATCGCTGATTTGGGGGTGGGCCTCGGAGCGAGGGGCCGCAAGTTGCACTTCCACCTCGAAACCAAATCTGCCCACCGAGAGAAGAAACTCCTCACCAAAGGACCTGAAGATAGAAGACTCACCTTTTGGAACCTTGACTATGGACCAAGGGAAACCAAAAGGTGAGACTCGTTTTGGGCAAGTGAGACTCAGTTGGGGTTGTCTCAAAATAGGGCACCCTCTGGTTTTCCTTTTGTTCCCGGGAACAAAAAAGGGCACCATCCAAAGAAAAGGGCACGCCCAACTTGAAGTTGGGCCCACGGGTCAGTTTTAAGCGGGGAGATACCGGGAGCCCTGCCACCAACCGCCCGCCCGAGAGCACCACTTCTTTTCACGGCTTTCATATACCCAGAGAACAACACGCGGGTCATCCAGAGGCCAGGCTGACGAAAACCTGCCGATGCTGTGACTTGTGATGAAAAGGGGTGACATGAAAACTTGGTGGGAAAAGAAAAGGCCGCACTAACCAGATTTCAGGTGGTTCCCTGACACAAAAACACCTAGCTGTATCTCCGGCCAGGCTGGGAAACGAACGCCGACGCGAGTTGGGAGTTTCGCAAAGTGCGCCGTCCGGAGACGGGCGACACTTTCGCGCGGCCGAGTCAGCCAAGTGGCTCGTTGGGCTGTGAAGAGCGTCTTTTAGTCATTTTCAAGGTTGGACCCCCAAAATGACTTCGGCTTTCCGTTGGCTTTGTCTTTACACCACCCCCCAAAAAAGCCAAGCAACTCGAAGAAAAGACGGCATCTTGGCAGAAACCACCATTCGGGTGGTTTTGTTCTTGCGTTACCTTTGCTTCTTCGGGGCCATCCCAATCTGCCACCCCAAAACACCAGCCAATAGAAAAGGGCTTTTGGGGCTTGACCTTCCCAAAATCCCTGGCCTAAGGATAGAACCGGGCTAGAGGGAATCCAAAAGCAACCGTCGACAAATGTCTGCGCTTGGGTTTGCTCGCCACTTGAGTGAGAATTGTGATGGGGACCCTTTGGCATCATTTCGGTGGGGATTCATGTCCACCAACCACTTGGGAGGCGGTTCCCTCATGAAAGCCAAACCCATTTCGCTGGAGCAACCCCTTCTGAGAGACCACCATTCGAGTGTTTTGCGACCATCCATGTCCGCAAGGAAGCAGCCCGGACTTCAAACTGGATGGCATGTTCCGGCTGACTCGCCAAATGCTTGATCCGGGGCCGGTCTGTAGAAACGGGTTCCAGCCGGCTTGTGCAGACCTACCTCAGCTTTCCCCTTTCCCCACAAACAAGTGTTGTGGTTGATTCAAAACAAAGGGGTGCGGCTCAAAGAGGCCCAAATGGATAGACGATAAAATCTGCGGTCCCTTTGCTCTTGGATTTTGAGCCACACCATGTCAAAAGAGACCTCAGAAAAGTCGAGGCATGAAGCTTTCCACAGTACCTTTGTTCCTTTTGGAAACAGTAACAGGGTGGTGAGAAAAGAAAAGCCTGCGGACCCCCTAGAACGTAGAAACCTCGTCTCGGTTCCCAATTCTGTGTTCTCATTTTCCGCGTCCGTTCACAAGTTCAATGACAAGTGGTCTGGGATTGCGATTTAAGAAACAAGCAGGACACCGCAAAGCAGCTTTTCCGTGCATTTGAAAGGCAACAAGAAGGGACCCGGCATGGCTTCGAGGACCCTGTTCTCTCAGTCCGAACACCCAACCCAAACGCGCACCCGAAAACACCGGGCTCTAAAACAAACAAACTTTAACCCCCACCCCCGCGCCCATGTTGGCCCTAACCACCCCGCTGCAGGGCGGAAATTCCCGCAAACCTCGCCATCTGAGCAAACCGACGGAGGAACCCGAGCATCCCACGGAGCTCGGCCCGGACATCGGCGGAGTTTCGGCCCAAATCAGAACATCCGCGGGCGCTTGGCGGCGGGTTGGGGCGCTTGCCCACTGCAGCGCCGCGTGAAGTTGATGACCTCGGCGGCTCGTCACATTTATTTTCTTGGGGGAAGTTGACATGGCCTGAACCACACAGGGTGGCTCTGTTCAAAGGCTGGGGTCAATCGCAGATACTCTTTACTCAAAAATGAAGGCGAAAGCCGGCTCGTGTCGCCACCATGTGCGTGGGAGGGTAGTTCCCGGCAAAGTCAGATGGAAACCCAAATAGCCGCAGAATTCTAACTGTTCGGAATTCAAAGTGAACCAGGAATGTATCCCACGCAAAGAGTTCGTTTGGCTGCAGATCAAGACATCCGCCCAACCTCATAAAATGTCCGAAACAGCCCCTAGACCCGCCACCAAACACGCATGGTTTCATAGTCACGGAGTGCCACCCCACAAATTGGCTCCGCGAATTCTGGAACCTCAAACCCAAAAAAGAATCCTGCCTTGCAAGTATCGAACCTGCCAAGTGTACCCTCTGCGCACAAAGGTGATCGTTTACTCTCGTGCAAATTCACATGGAGAGGGCGTTCCTCCAAACCGTGCTGCCTGTCGGCTCTCAGGAGAGCCACTCAGCTCATGTCCGCAGCCCCGGCCAACGCTGTCGCAAGGGATTCGAATTGTGGGATCCTATACCCTTCACAGTGGCATCTCTCAAAAACCAAACCCTGTCCACCAAATGCTTCGGAAAAGAAAGACCCGCAAACCGAGCTCACCCCGCCAAACCTGCCAAGACCGTATCTACAAAAGAAACCCGGCGTATCCCACCGGTGGTTCCAGGCCAGACCTGCCAGAAAAAGCCCCGGCTTCGTCTTTTCTCCCTGCCTCCCAGGTTCTTCAAACCGGATGCCCGGTTCAGCTTCGCTCACCGGCTCTTGGGGTATCCATCGTTGAGAAAACGGTTTGGATGCGCCTTTGGTGGATTTCACCCGCGTTTCCACCTTTTGGCCCTTTTTCAGAACTCTGTCATTACTCTTTTCATATCCGACAGGGGTGGATCCACAAAAGCCGCATCCAAAATTTGTTTCCCAGACATCCAAACCGTCAAACCTGTTTAACTATGGTTTCCACAAACCGGGTCACCCCCCTCCCTTCCCTGAGCCCTTCCGCCAAAAACCCGGCCCCTCCACCCGGCCCTCGGGGCTTCCGTGCCCCCGGGCCAGCGCGGAGTAGTCGGAGTCCTGGCGCTGCGGGGCGAAGGAGTCCATCACCATCTGCTGCGCCTGCGCCGGCGCGTTGCACAGGAACCTGGCGAAGCCGGATCGCGGATCGAAGGCGCACCGCCGAAGGCGTGGAGCTGGGGATGGCTCTCTTTTTCTGAGGGAGACAAGTTTCTGGGTGGAAGGGAAACAGCCCCAGTGCCTGACTTTGAGAAGTCCAGAAAACGGTTGAAAAATCATGGAGTTGAAAAGCATTCATGGGGGTGTCTTTTGGGAGGCTCTTTCAAGCGTTGCATTTAAGAAGCCAACCAGAAACGGAGACAAACCATGGCGGGCTCTTCGCTTCAGCCGAGCCGCTGAAAGGCGTGGTCGTCCATGGGGTAGCGCTGCCGGAAGGCCCACAGCGAGGTCTGATCCGGCGCCCTCGGGGGGGACCCGGGTGCTGAGCTGACTTAAGACCTGAAGGGTCCTCCTTGGAAACGTCTGACCCGGCTACGGTGGTAGATTCCTTGTGCCCAAGCTCGGTTCAGTGCATTTTTAGCCCTGTCAGCGGCCAACATCCAAAACTGAGGCACCGAGCCATAGGAAATCAGTAAGCGAGCAGAGCCGTGCAGCCCTTGCATGCTCTTGCCGAATTGAAGCCTACCAGGGCCCTGGACAGGACTGCTTCTTGACACAGGTGTCAATCCTTTCGCCAACGGCGACAGGTGATAGCTGGCAAACATGTCTATGCTGGGGCAACTTTTCTTGGGGCTTCTTCGCAAAAGGTTTGAACTAACGGAGGTACCCAAGAAGCAATGTTGAACAGCCAGAGGGACCAAGAAGCAGTCGTGTCCTGAGTGGCGCTGGCTGTTCCTTCAGCGAACTGAACAAGCTTGTCCAAATTCTGAGGTACCATCAGCACCCTGGCACCTCACGCACTTGCATTGAGCCGTCCGCACAATGAAAGCGCGCTCTCCACCTCGTCTGGAGGCAGGAGCCCTCCCCCCAAACTCACAAAATGCAAAGCACTTGAAAAGGCAAAGCTTGAAGCTGAATCTGGGAAGAGCCGCCAGGTCTTTAAAGAGACTCCCCATTGCAGCGTTCTCGCGTGCCATGGCCTCATCCAAAGCACTGGATGTGAGTGTGATCTCTGGGAAAGTGCCGAACTGCCCGCGAGTGTTAAACGACTTCTGCTTGACCTCGTTCAACATAACACGGAGGACGCCGTTGGAATAGGCCTTCCACTGCTTGTACCGCACCGCCTCAATGCTGAAAACCTTGTCAGCTTTCAGCTTCCCTTTCTCCATCATCTCTCCATTCCTCCAGGGTTGGGCCCACTTTGGCCAAGTGCTGTTCAAACATCTTCGGACTCTCGGTCCCTCTCACAGTCATAGTCTCACCAATCGCCACCCTGGCCTCCAAGCCGACTCCAAGAACGAGCGCGCCTTCGGATCGTCCACTTCGGTCTCGGCAGTGATGGCCGAACGGAAGCCTAGCTGACCGTCAAGCTTCCAGAAGTCCGCTTGCTCCACCTCCAAGGTGGGAAAGGTGCTGACTTACCCTCCCCAGGGCTAGCATGGAAGCTTCCACCCCTTTGGAAGACTTGGTTCCATTCACAGATGCCTGGGAGCTTCCATGTTCGTCTGAGGAAGTGCACTCACCACTTCCGCAGCCCAATTGTTGCTATTCAAAAGCTACATGCCTGGAATGCCGAGGACTGAACGGACACGGTTGGTGTACAATGTCTATGCCCGCAAGGCCCGAGAGGGTCCCGATTTTTGCTGCTTCGGCGAGAACAATGCCGATTCTCCCAAACGGCACTTTTCCCGAAAGCATTGCGAAGGGCTCTTGCGCTAGATCTCATTCACACAAACAAACTTGCACAGAAAAAAAAAAAAAACCTTGCACAGAAAAACCTTGCCAAAACAAATGTCTGAGTATAACTTAGCTTTCTAGCGCAGGGTGGGTGGGACCGTAGGCACTGTTGGGAGTTGCGATCCTCTGCAGGGACCAAGCGGGCTGAGATGCAACCACTCGAGCGAATTGAAACCTTCGCAGTGCTCGCGAGCTTTTCTGCGATAAAACGGGCGGGTGGAGTACAGCGTTTTCCAGCCGAGCAACCACTCTTGAGCGTCCGGCACCGTGGCTGGCCATCTTGCATGACATGACCGGGACACGTGTCTGCTTTATGTTTTGGCATGGCTGTTTCAATCAGCCATGCCTGTGCACTCATGAATTGGCAGTGTTCTCCGCTTTTTTCGTCCCGCGAACCGCCTTGTTTTTGACGGCTAGCCAAGATTTGAAGGACATAAGCTGCGAGAATTGAGACGGCGATTGTGTTTGCAAGCGGCGAAAATAACTGCTGCTTGGGCAAACGGAAATTCTGGCTGGCTGAGACAGCATTCCCGCGGCCCAATGGATTGCTGGTCCGGGCCATTCCCTATTCCCCCTACGATTGCTGGCGCATCTGCTACTGGATTCATCCATGTTGATTCTCAGTGAAACTACGTTTGGCAATGCTCTGCGAATACTCTGACTCATGAAGCAAAACCAAATCACCCCACAGCATCGCAGGATTCACGGACAAAGATGTTCGATCCGCTCAAAGACGTGGACAATTGGAGCAGTCTGGGGACAGGGCACCTCCGGGAGAGTTGGGAGTTTTTCGGCAGCATCTCCCCGCCTTGGTTTGCCGACGAAAGCTGAGGAGTTGCGGAAGCTCCGCTGGTGCCTCGCCAACATCGAAGGCTACCTCGAGCCGTTGATCGCTGCGCCCCTTCTCGGCTGCTTCTCTGGCAGAAGACAAAATCTTCCTACGTGGATACCCAAGAACAACAGGTCTGCAACATACTGTTGCTGTAAACCACTTAACCATTTGGACGTTTAACTGGGTCTAGGTTGTCATCAAACGGCTGCATTAAATAAACATGAAGTCCAAAAGGTGATCAAGTCTAAAGAGTAAACCCAATAGCAGCACAGTTTCATCGCTTCGGTGGCACCTGGAAACCCGTTCTTGTCCGGATGTACCAAGACAGACTTCCTGAAGAAGGCCTTTTGCGCAGCAGACGCAGTTGCTCCTGACCAAGTCAAGCTCGGCCCGGACCCATCTGAATCCAGAAAAACATGTCTGGTCGCGTGTCCCGCTATCCCTGAGTGAAGATATTTTTGCTTGCTATTATTGTAGTGAGGACAATCCGATTCCAGGAATGGGTGGCCATTATCTCATTCAGAAACACGCCCCTCAGCGCCGAACAAGCCTTCGCGCCATGACGTGGACGTGTTCTGAGGCCACAAGCTGGTTGGACAAGCATCCCTTCGGTTTCAGTCGAAGTCAAAGGAACGAAAAATCGGCCATCCGCAGAGAGCGCAAACGTTTTCGTTGATTGGGCTCGATACGCAACAGGATCTGCTGTGATTGCTTCTCCCAAGACGTCGGCTGAGTTGGATATCAATTGAGGGCACTTCTCCAAACTGGTTCTGCGCTCTGTGTCGTAAATTGAGCGCGTTGTCCTCTTTGAATTGACAACAAAGCGGTCGTAAGCTTCGGGAACAGAAAGCGTGCGCCACTTTTGCTGCAGGACACTGAGGGTCAAGATGCTATAGACACACGAGACCTGGGCGTGTTTTAGACGGCCCCCCAAACAGTCAGATTCCAGGTTGGGAGGCAGCTTGATGAAACCACCATGATATTGCTGCTGGCTGCAGACATGGCTTCCAGCTCTACTTTTCTCATTCAGAAGGGAACATGGAGACTGATGGTAAGGAGGAACGCCCCTCCATCTCAGCCGAACCACAGCTCCTGGCTGTAGCTCCAAGACCTCCGCGCTGGTCTTGCACTTCCTGATGCGCTCCAGCTCACCTCGCTTCACATCCGAGAGCCGCGGATCCGCCGAGTTCTTTGGGACATCCATAAAGGAGATCTTGCCTCGGGCCGACCAGACACATCGAATCCCTCAAGTCGAACTGGAGAGTATGCGTACAGTATATGAGCATGCATGCATTACATATATATATATATGGTCACCCCCCCCTGCATGACCTACCGTTGTCTTTCAAAAAGTCGTTGGGGACCATTAGCAGACAATAAAAAAGTGAAAAAAAACACCTGTTTTTATGGTTTTCGATTAAAAAACAACACAGTCAACCATTGAAAAATTAAGAAAAACCAGTGTGTTTTAATGGTTTTAGCAAAACATGTGCAAAAACCCATGTTTTTTTTTAGAAAAAAACAGGAAAGCATTCAAAAAAACAAGTGTAAAAACTGATATGTTTTTCAGATAGATCCCTAAGTCAAAAACTAAGAATTCCCTGGGTGTTTGATGGTTTTGCAGTAAAACCTTCAGAATTCCTTGGGTTTTTAGCATTTTTCACATAAAACCAAGAAGCCTCGAGAAAACCAAGAATCCAAGAATCCAAGATTTTCAGGTAGATGTTTGGTCCACTACAAAATCTTGCATTCTTGGTTTTCTCGAGGTTTTCTTGGTTTTCTTGGTTTTACTTGGGAATTCTTTGGATTTCCAGCAAAAAACCAAGAACTACTAGGGTTTTTTTGGATTTCCAGCAAAAAACCAAGATTTACTAGGGTTTGTTTGGATTTCCAGCAAAAAACCAAGAATTACTAGGGTTTTTTTGGATTTCCAGCAAAAAACCAAGATTTACTAGGGTTTGTTTGGATTTCCAGCAAAAAACCAAGAATTACTAGGGTTTTTTTGGATTTCCAGCAAAAAACCAAGATTTACTAGGGTTTTTTTGGATTTCCAGCAAAAAACCAAGAATCCAAGATTTTGTCGTGGGCCAGACATCTACATGAAAATCTTGGATTCTTGGATTCTTGGTTTTCTCGAGGTTTTCTTGGTTTTCTTGATTTTACTTGGGAATTCTTGGATTTCCAGCAAAAAACCAAGAATTACTAGGGTTTTTTTGGATTTCCAGCAAAAAACCAAGATTTACTAGGTGTTATTTTTTATTTCCAGCAAAAACCAAGAATTCCCAAGTAAAACAAGGAAAACCAAGAAAACCTCGAGAAAACCAAGAATCCAAGATTTTGTCGTGGGCCAGACATCTAACACAACAGAAATACCAGCACCAACTGAAGACGAAGAAGAAGAACCACAAAAAGATAATTTTGAAAAATTGAAATCTTAATAATAGCATATATAATGGGTATTGGTAAAAGTAAAAATAATGAAAATAATAGTTTGGAAGACATTAAGAATTTAAGTATAGATGAAAAACCACGAGCAAACACTTTAATTATTAAATCTCTTCAAGAATGTGTGACACGAATTGAGAAACTAGAGAAAGAAAAATCTGACAAATTAATATATAAACTTCCTGCCTTACAATCTTGCAATGCTTCGTTAATTTAAATTAATAATATTAACATATAATAATATTATTGATTGCTATCATAATCTGTCATTTTATCCTCTGGTATTGTTGTTGAAGTAGTACTACTTATATCATCTATTAAATCTTCTTCATCAACAAAATTATTTTGACATCTTAATAATTCCTCGTCTGTTGCCCTTCTTTTCAATACTTTATAAAGTTTACGTATCCAAGAATTAGTATGAAAATTACAATTACCTCTACGATAAAATCCGCCACATCTACATAGGTTCATTGGCATATTACTATATTATATTAAATTAGAATATCTTTATTCATCATTCGTAATTTGAAATGCCTGTTCAAATCTGATATGAAACATGTTGTTAATGTCTTTAGCATTCATATTCACGTAGAAGAAACTATAAGGTGCGTCATTAACGGCTTGATGATACATATCTAATAATTGCTGTTTATCAACAATGGCGCTATGTTCTTCAATAAAACTCATTAACTCACTTGCATTTTCAACCTAATGAACTGGCATTTAAACGAATGATAGGCACTAAAACATTATATTTTGTGTTGAACAAATTACACTTACTGCATCGTGCCTGCCTCTTGTAAAAAGTCCGTGTAATAATTTACTATATCTAACAAATTTAGGATCGTCTGCGTGGTCATCTACAACGATGAATATTGAATGCGTGGTCATCTATAACGATTAATATTGAATGTAGTTTCTTTATCTTTTTAGACTTCATATAATTAATTATTTTCTTCTGTCTTTCAATTACATTTTCTAAATCACTTGGATTATAATTATCAAAATAAATTTGTTCTTTTTCATCATCCACGTGCAATTCATCCCTGATGTATTTTTTAACTTCTGTAAAAGTTGGGTCATTATGAACGCTGGGGGAAAATATAAATATTCTTGCAAATGAATTTCTATAAACATTCAAGATAAGGTTTTGGACTAAAACTGTTTTGCCTCCCGTCGATGAAGCAACTATAATACTTCTAAATGGTAATTTTAGCACGTGCTCATATTTGGATTGTTTGAATTCATATTCAGTTATGTTTATTGGTTTTATTATTGGGACATCTGTCATAGTTGATATTAAAGAAATATAGAAAATTATATTTAAAAAAAAACTTGTCATTAATATTGAATGGAACATCATTATGTTATGAGTGGCGGTGAATAACATAATGGAACAGGTGTTCCATTGCTTCAATCAATAAGCATTGAAGATAATTAGTTTTGTGTTTTGCTCGCGTGTGCAATGAAAACCAAGTGCTGTGCCCCACCAATAGCGATGAAGGGAGGGGCAAATGATAGATGAGATCCTGCTTTTTTTGGCTAAAAGGTAGGTCATGCAGGGGGGGGTGAGCATATATATATATATATATATTTGTATGCAAACATACATATAGACGGTAAAGTACAAGTGTGCAGCACTTACTTACCTGTCTGCTCTTGGAGCCCTGGAAAACAACAGGTGCTGCGCTACACTCACAGGTCATTCACTACAGGCACAAAGGCTACAACAGTGCTTCTAGTTTAACAGTAGATTGCCAGACAGACAGACAAATAGAAACATGTATACCAACAGCAAACCCCGGCTGTCACATTCCTTTTCACCACTCTCTCAATTTAAGCCACCAAAACAGCTACGATTCTTGCGCCCCTCCTGAAAAATACACTTGCCTGGACCCCAAATAGCATGCGGGATTTGACTAACACCCAGCATCGCCAAATAAGCACCTTGAGCACACCAAATAAGCTTCATGAGTACATCACAGACACACATAGTCCAGGTCTATGAATCTCTGGTGATTGGATGCCTTCCACGATAAAACATTCTGGAGTGCGCAAGTGGCTGTCTGCTTGGGTGTCCCCATCCAGCAGCTTGACATTGGTGCACGTGCCCTCCTCCATGAACTCGAAGCCTTCCTGCAGCAAAACCTCAAGCAGATTCTTCACCGACAGCTGCGGGGAGAATTGCGACTTGTAGTCCTGCGGATACCACCCCTCTTCCTGCGACCCCCCCCCCTCCCAATCAACAAGGAAAAACCAGAGAATCAACAACATGAACAACTTATGGTTAACCTTGAAGAACATTCAGGTAGAACGCCCTCGCTGCCAGCGATTTTATGGGATTTTTCTGGAAACAGCGCCGTGGGCCGCTTTGTTGACTTCAACCTCGACAAGTCCGCATAGCCATCACAGCCTGACACCAGCCCATTGTCCAACAAATCCTGCGGCCGAGTTGGGCGACCGCGCCTCACCATAGGTCAAACTCGAGAAGTCCGCCATGGACCTGGCAGCTCTTGCTCGATCGCTGAGGCTGCCAAAAGCCACCGCTCCCAGCCGCAGTTCCACCTTCAAGTCATTTCTTGCTGCCACGCGCTCTTCGAAGGATTTCCTTGAGCTGAAAGGGAATTCCTTTGAACTCTTTGGCACGCAAAGAGGAGTGAAACCCCCCAACAACAAGTTGAAGGCTTACTCGGCAAGTTTCACCACCAGATCCGGCTGCCATGCTGGCTTGGGAGAAATCTGCAAGCGCTGGAAGGCCGCATTCAAGCCACCGTCCCTGCAGAGAATCATGAGGCTGGTCCTGGGACCCACCTGGGCTGCGCTTGCCCTGCAAACAGCAAAAGTCGACTCAAGCCCGAAAGGGTACCCCGGGCCATACCGCCTAGCCGCGTAGGGAGTGAAGTCGGCGCAGGTGCCTCTGCCCAACGGCGACCAGCGCACGGCGACATTTTCGTCGGCGTCCATGCAGATCAGTGAGATGCGCCTCTGGGGTCTCCGCAAAAGGCTTCAGGCAGGACTGTAAGGCAAAAGAAACCATGTGTAGCTTGCCAAGGCACCCTGAGTCATGAGTGAGGCGGTTGAATTGTCGCGAGCAACGCAAATTCAGCTACTCCCTACAGAGTTTCAAAGGAAAATGATCTTCCCCTTTGGTCTAATCACACCAGTAGCATGTGTCTTCTTGGGGGGCCGCCCGTGATGTGCAACTCCCGCCTCTTGGATTTCAAAGAAGCGCGGTGAATCAAGCCTTGTATGTGCTCTGCTACGGACTGTACGGCTTCCTGCAAGTGTCCTCCGATGTAGCACTTCATGTCATCCGTGTTCAAACTGACATACGCGATGCCAGGAGTCTCCTGGCCCAATAGTCGAGCCTCTGTTGTTTACTACAGAATTGTGTGGTTCCAAAGGGCTCCCTCCCGCAAACATGGAACCTGGGGTTCCTTTCAAAGTAACCAGCGGTGCAAAAGGATGGTTCCAGGTGGCAAAGTTGAGAAGAGGAAACGACATGCAATTCAAACTACAGCGGGCTCACGTTTAGCTGCCTGGATTGCCTGCTCTCCAGACCCAACGAACAACTCGACCCGTGCAACGGGCGCTGGCCGTGACTTGTCACGAGGCAGCGCAGCCGAGACACAGACGAAGCCAAGCAAAATGGAGCGAGAGTGTGAGTAGCTGGCCATCTGCACACACTGCGCACTGGGGTTCGGAAGTGCAACCATGTATGTTATATTACATTCCTTTGCATGTCACTTAGAACGGAGCACGCCTCCTTTTTTCTTTTGCAAGCTCGATGCAATGCAGTTCCAAACCCTACCATAGGGATTTGCTTTGGGATGTCTGACAGGCTTCTCCTCCTGACAGACAGATGCTTTTGGCATCTTGGTCAGAGACCCTCCGTGGACACCCTGTCCAGGAATCTCCCCTCCCGACCATGCCAAAAACATCAGCGCGCCATGCGCACACCCCAGCCCGAAAAAGTCGTGGGCCTTCAAACGGAGAGATTACCCGAACGTCGGGTCCCTCCGCAGGGTGGGTGGGTGGGACTCAAAAATAGCCAGTTTGGATCAAGGTCACTTGAGTTCCAAAATGGCAAGACATCAAGGAATGATAAATGCATACCCAAGCCTACCAAACTCAATGCATTCACACATTCCTTTGCATGTCACTTGGAACGGAGCACGCCTCCTTTCTTCTTTTGCAAGCTCGATGCAATGCAGTTCCAAACCCTACCATAGGGATTTGCTTTGGGATGTCTGACAGGCTTCTCCTCCTGACAGACAGATGCTTTTGGCATCTTGGTCAGAGACCCTCCGTGGACACCCTGTCCAGGAATCTCCCCTCCCGACCATGCCAAAAACATCAGCGCGCCATGCGCACACCCCAGCCCGAAAAAGTCGTGGGCCTTCAAACGGAGAGATTACCCGAACGTCGGGTCCCTCCGCAGGGTGGGTGGGTGGGACTCAAAAATAGCCAGTTTGGATCAAGGTCACTTGAGCTCCAAAATGGCAAGACATCAAGGAATGATAAATGCATACCCAAGCCTACCAAACTCAATGCATTCACACATTCCTTTGCATGTCACTTAGAACGGAGCACGCCTCCTTTTTTCTTTTGCAAGCTCGATGCAACGCAGTTCCAAGCCCTACCATAGGCAGTGGTAACTGCCACAGCTCAAACGGGAAAAAGGCATCCTCCGTTGAAAAGCCATGTGCCTTGTGCCATGGATCCGACCGGCCCAACCGGCTAATGGCATCTGCCCAGTTGCTCTTCGTAGGGACCCACTCCCAATAGAACCACGCTCCAAGAGCGAAGAGCATAATGTGGATTTGCCGGACCATCAGGTCCAGGTCAGGGCTGTCAGAGCGCCCACGCACCAGGGCCATCAGGGATGCCACATTATCGATGTACCAAATCCCCCTTCTCCTCTTTCGACCAGGGCATACTGGATCATCAGCATCTCCAGTTGGGCTATCTTGTGATCGCCTGGGCTCCACAAGTTATACAACGTGGGTGGGAGACACGCCACAAAGCCCTCCCGACCTTGGGCCTGTGTGTCGACCCACACAATCAAGAACCCGCCGGTCCCGCACCTTAGCGCCTCGCGCCAGGTCACCTCGACCTCCCGCATGGGTTTGCTGCGCACGACGGCTTCCAACACGTCGAGGCAGCCACGGATTGCAGGAGTAAGCCGAGTGTCCTTCTCGGCTTGGCGGTCCTTGATGGCATTCAGCCCGGAGCACCCGACCCGGCCGAACACTCCCAGCTCAAAGAAATTGGCAGGCCATAGAGCTTGGATGCCTGTCCCGGAGGCAAACGGTCGTTGTCCCGGCATGCCCGGATGTAGCCCATCAGCTTCTCCTGCAGACGCTCTTGACCCCAGAACCGAACGACTCCGTCGGTGTGCACTGCACCCAAATGGTGATCGAGGCCCAGAAAAGTCCCATCCGGGCTAAGGGGGTTCCAAGGAGCTTGTTGAGCTCATTGAGGGCCCACTGGCCACTGTTTTGCTGCTCCGCCAGTCTATATTGGCATCATCGAAGTACATGGTGCAAAGCACGTACACCAGCCGCCGGGCTAGGCTCTCTACCAAGTCGCGAAAACCGGTTGAAAGATGTAACCGCAAGCGGCAGCCCAAAAAGAAGCCCGCCATAAACCTGAAATGCGGGGAAGCCCCACTGGTGGTGGAAGAAGGCCACCACACACCTGAGGGACTCCTCGTCCCCCATGGGTGAGTGCCTATAGGCATTGGGCCAGTCCTCACCACCCGATTCCCAACCATCCTCTCGAGCCTCTGCCATCTGCACAGCTGTCATGTGCCTCATGACCGCCGCAACATGAGCCGCCGGCCTCAGCGGCGTGCAGAGGACAAGTTTGTTGGAGTCGTGGGAGCGCTCAGATTGTCCACCAGAATCGGCGTTGTCAATGATACGCTTTTTGCCTGATGATTGCACGATAATACAACGTGGAATTAACCGATACGGTCGCTGTTGAAGGACTGCTTGCAACTGCTGCTGCGTGAGAGGTGGGGTGCAAAAACCAGCCGCTGCATCTGCCTCGGACTGCTCCAACAACACCTCGTCATCTTTAAAATTTGCCTGCGCGCAGAGTTTGCAATATGGCGTGGTTATGACCCAACCAGCCCTCCAGGACATCCTGCTGCGAGATCATGCACGCAGGTTGTTGCGGGAACACACCATAATGCGGCGCAAAGCCAACCGCTGGCAATCCGCGCACCAGTACAAAGGGGTAGGAGGTGTCAGCCCAAGACTGAAGGACGATGAGCAAGGCAGTGAACCCCAAATCACGCTTCACGGTCACCTTCTGGACAGCCTCACTCTGGAACGATCGGAGCTGACGACCCACCGGCTTCCATCTGCTCTGCAGCTCGCGCAGGACCGAAATGGCTTCTTGACGCAAATCACGCAACTTGCCGCGGAAGTGGGTACACATGTGGGCCGCAAACTCCAAGTCTTCGTCCAACACCGTCTCTTGTTCCATCGGGAGTGGATGCCGACTGATGGCCATGGCTTGGTGGAAGTGGTCGTCGTCCGACAGCCCAACGGGAAGCCTAGGTGGCAAGGCGGCCTTGTGCGACAGGGAACCACCCTGCCGCCCTTCGGTCACTCGCTGCCAAAGGCGGACTCCCGCGCCAGCCAAGTGCGGACCGGATGGTCCATCCCACTCGTACCCTGCCTCCTTCCGCCAGCTGGGGAAGGCGGAGATCGGGGTGCAGTTGATCAGGTCCTCCACCATGGGGAACCGAAAGTTATGGAACCAGTCCTCCGGGAAGAGCTTGCGAAAGGCTAGCACCAAGCCGCTTCGACTGCGGGATCATCAGTGCCGTCCTCCGGGCCCGGTAGTAGTAGGCCAGCATGACATCCAGCGGCACCTGCACGAAGCTCATGGAGTCCGCACTCAGCGTCTCGGTTGACGCCTCAGGCGCTCCCACCTTGGGGTGGACTCCCGCAAATGCATAGGCCAGCATCAGCGTGAAGAGCTGCTGCAGGTAGGTCTCAACATCCTGTGCCACCACTGCCGAGGCCGCCGGCTCGCTCTCCTCCACGTAGAGCCCCTCCGCGAGTTTCCTCTTGCGGCTGGAGGCCAGCAGCTGCTGCTGGAGTGACGGCTCAACACACACAGCATGCGTCGATCCATCTCGCGCGCCACCCGGGAGACCGTCGCATCCGAGGGGTGCAGATCAGGGGGGCATCGTTGACGGTAGCGCTTCCAGACAGCTGCCTTGACCTCCCGGAGCTCGTTGTCCCCCAACAATGCGTCCAGGTCGGCCGCAGCAACCCTGGAGCGGTCCTGTGTCGCCTGCTGGAGGTAGACGCTCACTGCGGACCATGCCCGACGCAAGCGCGCCACCTGCAAAGCCTTGCCCTCGCCCAGCTGGATGCGGTTGAGCCAGGGTTCGATCTTGGAGAGGTTCTGAAAATAGAGCGGAACTCTTCCAAGTTCTGCATCTTGGTGGCGATCAACGCCTGCACCACCTCATCGTC